TAGAAATTCTTACCTTTTCCCAACTTACATGTCTAAATATTAATAAGGCCATTATTTTTGTATGTTAAAAGTCTGCTTTACATGTTTTTCTTCTGTTAATTAGCCATTTTTAAACTTGGGTCCACTTTAAATTGGGAAATGGACATTTTTGACTTGCAAAAACTATTTATATGCTTAAATACAATGAACTTTCATCATAAAAAAATTATGAGATGTCCTAAATATCTGAATACTGCTGAGCTGGGAGAACACTTCCCTACACAAGAAGCTCCAGGGACACTTTACACTGGATACCAAATAAAATCCATAGCCATAAAAGTTGCCTCTGAAAGGTTAGATAAATATAGGCTAGTCTATTAAAATCAAAATAACGTGCTTATTTCTACTCATAATTCCTCACCTTAAAGGTCTTTTTTGGTTTTTAATATTTTACCAAATATTTGACTAGAAGTATTCTTTCTTAAGAAATATATATTTTTTATTTTGAAGAAAAATCCCTTCATTCCCTCATTAACATTTAATAAAGATAGGATGCTTCAAAACCATGGTAAGCACACATAACCAACAACAGAAATTTCCCCATTTGGGGACCTCTGGTTTTAAATCATCCATACCCAGGCTGGGCAAGAGATGGGATACACTCCTCCATCAGGTCCCATCTCTGCTACAAACACAAATCAGCTTAAGAAAACCACTTGGGAGAGCCACAGAGGCCCTGCTCACCCCCCACACACAGAGCCCTTAGGAGATGCTCTCAGAGCACTCACAGGGCTCTCTCACCTATAGATGCCACCATAGGTGACAGCCCTGGCTAGCAGATTATGCTTGCCTTGCAGCTGTGGGGTACAGAGTAGAAGGACAAGACTCCCTGCTTTCCCAAACAAACCTCAGATGCAAAGAAGTATCTATACCTTCTGGCCCTGTGAGCACCATCTCAAGGACCTCATCCTAAGGTTAATTCTTGCACAGATTACATCTGCACTGTCAAAAAAGGGCTGTGGTAATGGGCTACATTAAAAATACCTGATTCTCCGGGCGCCTGGGTGGCTCAGTGGGTTAAAGCCTCTGCCTTCAGCTCAGGTCATGATCCCAGGGTCCTGGGATCGAGCCCCACATTGGGCTCTCCGCTCAGCAGGGAGCCTGCTTCCCCCTCTCTCTGTCTCTGCCTGCCTCTGCCTGCTTGTGATCTCTGTCAAATAAATAAATAAAATCTAAAAAAAAAATAAATAAATACCCTATACTCTCTGCCTGCTTCTCTCTCTGCCTCTGCCTACCACTCTGCCCACTTGTGTGCACGCCTTTGCGCATGCTCTCCCTGACAAATAAATAAACAAATAAAACCTTAAAAAAATATCTGAGGAACCCCAAAAGGTGTATTTCGTATGGGGATGTTGATGACACTATCTAATAGACTAAGACTGTATACCTTTCATCAGGGCCCAGGGGAAAAATGTCTCCCACATCTGAATGCCAAGGAAAACTGCACAACTGGTATTTTATCTTAAGGGCACTACGTACCTTAGAACTGCTGATCTCCCTCTGCCAGGCCTCTTTAAGTAGCTGAGAACAGAATATGCCTTTATTAAATGTACAGGGATTCAGGTTTACCTTTCTGGTTACTAACTGCCTGCCTGGCTTCATTTTACAGTCTACCCCAAGTTAACTGCACCATGACCTATCTGTCCATTTTTACCTTATCATATAGTTTTTTAATGAATCACCTCTAACTTTTTTTTTTTACAAGTTTTATTTATTTATTTGAGAGAGAGAGAGAGAGCATGTGCACAAGTGGGCGGAGGCAGAGGGAGAAGCAGACTCCCCACTTAGCAGGGAACCTAATGCATGGTTTGATCCCAGGACCCTGAGATCAGGATGTGAGCCAAAGGCACTCAACCAACTGAACCCCGCAGACGCCCCCTACCTCTAACTCTTTTCAAAAGCAGAGTAAAAAGTAAATACTAGAATCCCAAGACACGTTCCTAGGGTAAAAAAAAAAGTCCATGCCAATTGTGGTTGTGGCACGTTGGTGGTATAGTGGTCAGCACAGCTGCCTTCCAATTGTGGTTGTGGCAAGATGCTCTTACCTGTTTTCCAAATCTTTGTACTGTGTAACCCACCACACTTTTGTAATAAAAAATGTTAGGTGACTCTTGATTTCAGCTCAGATCATGATCTCAGGGTCATGAGATCAAGCCCCATAGGCTCCACACTCAGCTAGGAGTCTGCTTCAGGGTTCTCTCTCTCCCTCTGTCCCTCCCCCTACTCTCCCCCACACATGATTTCTAAAATAAATAAATAAGTCTTTGGGGGGGGGGAACAAAGTTATTAAAAACCAACATCAAATGGCAAACACTAAATTCCAGCTGTCCTCCAGCAAAGCCTGGAAAGTGCTAAGGGGATGCTTTCACTCCCAAAGGGCAGACTAACTGGAGCCAGGAAGGAAGGAAAGCAGCAGGAACTGCAGGAGCCACTGGCCTTATGCATCCTGGGGATGTGTGAATGAACTGTGCTGGGCTTATCGCAGTACATTCAGCTGTGCCTGCTGGTTTTTATTCAGTGAGCCAGGTTTAGGTAAAACCAGCAAAGCCTCAGCATCTGGGCATGGGCAGTGTTATGGGCTGAATCCTAACTTCATCTGTTGAAGTCTTAACCCCTCAGCATCTCAGAATGTGACCATATTTAGAGACCGGATCTTTACAGAGGTAACTGAGCCCTAATTCAATGTAACTTGTGTCCTTAGAAGAGATCAGGATACAGACCTACACAGAAGGAAAACCATGTGAAGACACAGGAAGGAGACAAACATCTATAAGCCAAGGAGAGGCCTAGAATGGATCCTTCATACCCTGAGAAGAATTAACCCTGTGGCACCTTGATCTCAAACCTCTTCACCTCCAGAACTCTGAGGGAATAAATATACTTGTTTAAGCCACCCAGTGTGAAACTTTGTTATGACAGCCCTACCAGATTAACATAAGCAGGAAGCAAGTGACTGGCTCCCCCCATAGGACATGCATTCACTCATTTATTCTGCACTAATGCTGAGGTTGAGGTGTTATTTTTATTCCTGACTTAGAAAGGAGGGAACAGAGGGTGAGGGAGATCCAAAGCTTGACCTAAGTCACGCAAGGTAGCAGGCTGCAACCCAATTCTAGATCTATCACCAGGGTGTGCGCTTTGTATCACACTAGCTACATTTGAGACACCACCAAAGTCATCTGCTCAGACACCCTCACAATACAAATGGGCAATATGAGGCACTAGACACTCAGTAAGTTATCCAAATAAATAGCTGAATAAACACATTAAAGTGCCTCACCCCCAGTTTTGCATTCTATTCACCAAAACAAAGTACCTTAAAATGGATGAGGATGCCTTAAGCCAGAGACTGGATCTATAACTGGGGTCCTCACAAAGACAAGGTAGGCAAAGCCCCAGAGGACCTTTGGAAAGCCCACTCCATCTACCTGTATGGCATCAACACTGAAGAGAGAAATCTGCAGTTACTAGACGTCTATTTCCCTGAGCCAGGGAACTGGCCCCACCCCCTGGTCCACCTAGCAGGAAGATGATGTTCAAAGCTACAGAGCTGTCACAAGTAAATAAGTGAACCCTGCACAGCAACAGATAAGACACCTGATCTGCAGTGTGATCTTCGAGAAGTCACCTTCCCTTTCTGACCTTCAGTTTTCTCACCTAGAAAACATTAACAGAAACTACATGTGAAAATGTACCATGCGTGGTGTGAACTACTTGTTGCACATACATAACTAACCTGATCTGTAGAACAGCCCCAGGGTGTGGGTGTTATCCCCATCTCCAGAATGCCTTGCTCAGATCTCCCCTCAAGGGTCGTCAGGCTATGAGGCATGCAAGGAGCTGACAGTCTCCAGTTGTGACCTACGGGATCCATCACAGCATTCACTCTGAAGCCAGTCTCCCCAGGCTGCCGGCCAATGATTGATCACAATGGGGATCCTAGAGCCAGGCCATTTCTGCCCCATACTAGACTCTTCTAATGAACAACTCCTGCTGGCTGATACTTCCTTAGAAACACACTGTTCTCTAAGGCTCTTCCCACTCAACCCTGTCTTTTCCTTCTCCTTTTCCCAGCACCAGACCAGTACAGATTGAAAGCCTTCCTAGCTACTCCTACTCCTTCTCCTTTATCCTTCATTATCATTTCCCCCAATAAATCTCTTGCACAATTCTGCATTGGTATATATGTCTCAGAGGACATAAAATAACACTGTTCCCATTTTAGAAACAAGGAAACTGAAGCAATTAACATGATCAAGGTCAGATGATTAGGACCCAAACCCACGTCTCTGATTCTGAAGCACAAGCTCTTAACGGATGATTTAAAGAAAAAAGGAGAAAGTGTGCTGATACATCTTGCCAAAGCAATGCTCTACAAACTCAAGTGGTTATTAGTAAAACACAAAATAGTGTCACAAGAAGGGCACCATATGAGGAAGCTGCTCCAATATTTGTTAACGGAAAGACATTCAGTAGACAGAAGTCTTTTAATCCTACTCTCCCTATTTTATGGATGATGAAACTATCACCAAATCTGCTTACCTCAAAAGGTAGTTGCTATAATCACATGAGACTCTTCCTCCAAGAAAGATGGAAAATAAATACGGTACGTGAGTGGAAGATTCCACTAACTGCAGAACAGTTACACAAACATGTAGGGGCAAATGGAGAATGGTCTTGAACCTGACAGATTCTACCAAAGTATACTTCTTTTAAACAAGTCCCCAAAATATGGAAGATGATTATAGGATGGAGAAAACAAAATGAGATAACCCAAACTTTAAATAGCTCTCATTTATGGCCACATCAGCAGCAACTATAACAACAGCTGGCATACATTAGGCATGCCAAAATAACTCTTCAAAGAGAAGAACTGCAAAAAGACCTCCAATTACTATCTTTCTGTGTTCCAAGACAGAGGCCCAAGCTTCCCCCATAACCTTATATGGAAAGCAGGATACCTGGCAGTTCATGTTGTCCTCTGCCTCAATGAGCTTCCCACGATACACCTCACCAGTGTTTGTCTCACATGTCACGATGTGACCCTCAGCCTCGTGTAGGACTTTAATCGGCACACCAATAGACATCTTGGCAGGAAAAGAGTTCTACAGTGAAAGAAACAACAGTTAGTTCATCCTTCAGGGCCTAGAAAGTCATATGGCACATATCATGCTTCCCTTAAGGCCTGACACTCCATAGAACTTAGTAAGAATGCCAAAACTGCTATTTTCCACGGGGGGGGGGGGGGGGGCGGGGCTTAATCCCTACTTTGAGGAACTCATCTGGCAAATACATGCAAGATGTGGGAAGGTAAAGAATAGTTGGGGGGGGGGCTGGCTAGAGAGAGGGAAAGCTAATGGGATGAGAAAAAAGTGCCTTCCATCTTCTTCCCTGCTACCATATGCCTCTTTACCTTCATCAAATAACCAGTAACCAATATTGTGTGTGTGCTGGGGGACAAGGGACTGAACTATACATACCACACGATGTACTTGCCAACCCATATTTGTGGATGACACTACTTTTGAGAGCCCACGATATAGACTTGAGCTGCCCAATATAGTAGCCACAATCCACCCATAGCTATTTTAACTAAACTTAAAGTGAAATAAAATGAAAATTAAACATTCACTCCTTTAGTCACATCAGCCACATTTCAAGAGGTCAACGGCCTTGGGCTAGTGGCTGAAGTACTGGGCAATGCAGATAAAGACCGAAGAATCTAGGCAAATCTAGAAGAGGCATGCATTTAATTTGACTCATTAAGTACCCACTGACCCTCCACTTCTTCAAGGTTAAATAGAAAATGAAGTGTTCACAAAGGGACAACGTGCTATAAGCAGGAAATGTCTGGAGGAAAAGCATGATCATGGAAATCACCTGATTTCATGTAAATAAAAGAAACAAGCAGTGGATTTCATTTTCCCAGATGAGCAACGAATGAAGGCTGGAACACATCATGTGTGTCCAAGAGAGGAAAAGAAACATGAGTTCGGGGAAGACAGGTTCCCTCGGTGAGGAAGTAGCGTTAGGAGTTGGGCTTTTATGCTGAAGATAGTGGGGAACTACTGCAGGCTTATAGGTAAGGAATGATCCAATAAAAAGGCAGCAGCACTTACAAACGGATCAAACAGGTTTTTTTTTTTAAACAGTTTAGAAGCAAGGAAACTTGATAAAGTTTCTGTAACAATATGGAAAGCATAAGAGGACGAATGCCTAAAAGGGGAAGGGAGGCAGAGATGCAAACAACTTTGGAAAGGATTACCCGGAGAGAACTTGGGGGAAGGAGGCAGCCAGAAATGATTTCAAGACTATTGCCTGTATGTGAGGGAAAACGTGGTCTGGAGAGACAGAGAAAACGAAGAGCATGTACTTTGGGGAAAAGCTAATGAGAATTCACTTCCAGGCGCTAGTGAGGCAACGCAGATGTTTTGAGTGACCCGGGCTTTCCGCTCTTCTCCCTCCCCTGAACCTCCCAGAGTTCCTCGGCAGCGCGTCCTTCTCCAGCCCTAGGCCCCTCACGCATGCTTCGGGCCTACCCTCGCCTGCCCCGGGCCTCACCTCACCGGCTCCGGCCTACTCTCCCCTTCCGGTGCAGCGGCAACTCCAGGGACTGCGAAGGCGTGAGCCAAGCGAATGGCGGGTCTCGCGCTCCCAGAATACCACGCGTTCCCAAAATGCTGCGCGCAGGACCCGGCCCCTTCCTTTTCTTAGTGGAGAGCGCGGTCTTGCCTTTGCTGCCTTCTTATTCTTCCGGCTGGGAAACGTTGACTCCGCTCCGATAGTTCCGACCCCGGAAGAGAGACCTGGTGACAGGGCCCAAGTGCCGCCGGAAACACTGATCCTCAGGCCGTCAAGGCGGGGGCGGGGGCGGGGGCCTCGCGTTTCCAAGCACCTAACACCAGGGACAGGCTGGACGGCAAGGCGGGGATCTGGGGCTTGGGCCCGCGGATCGGGGGCAGCAGGCAGTGGGGCTGAGGGCCAGGACCTACCCTCACAATTTAACCTTTGGAACCCGGCACCACCAGGTAAGAGGTTGTCCTCCTTAAGGCGAGGTATCTCACCGTACCGATAGAGAAACCGGTTTAGAATAGAGCGGGAGCAGGCCTACGGCCGTCCTTCAAAAAAATCCGAGTAGTGTTAGGTCTCCCGGAGCCCCGCGGTGTGCGATTGGACCTGGCCTTAGACCTGAGGGTGGCCGAGAAGTACCGCCAGGCAGAGACGGAGTTTGGTAAGGTGAAGAGTCTCTGGGGAACCAGTGCTGGTGGAAAGGCAGGGCTTCGAGGCCGCGCTAAGGCGAAGGGGCGGAGCTTCCGGGGAGCGGAGGCGCGAAAGGGCCTGCGCGTCTGCGCGAAGAGTTGGAGGGGCTGGGGGAAGGGGCGGGGTTACCAGAAGCCGGGACTGCCAATGGCCAGGACCCGCTTAGATCCGGAGGCTGGGGACCTCTAGGAATAGAAGTTCGGGGAATAGAAAGGGAGGGGCTTCTTCGAGACCCAGCAAGGGGTGGGGTTTAAGGAAGGGGCGGGGCCCCGAGCCGAAGCCTGGAAGGGGCGGGGCGGGGCTTGGGGCGGCCCTGCCGCCGCCTCCTCTTCTCCCCACCGCGCTGGCGGTGGTGGCGGCGGCAGTGGCGGTGGCGGTGGCAGCGGAGGAGGAATCTGACACGCACCAGCCCGGCTCCCGCCCCAGTCGAAGCCGAAGCTGCAGCCGGCGCCGGGCCGGGGCCATGGGCGCCCCGCGCGGTCCGGGTCATGAGGACGGAGGAGGCAGCGGGGCCGCAGCTCGAGCCTGGTCAGTGTCTCCCCAGGGCCCGGCCCTCACCCCGGGGAACGAGGGGGACCCCGCCCTAGTGCAGGCAGGGTCCAGCCGCGCGACCTTGGGTCGACCGCTGCCACGGGCCGGGCTGTCGAGTTTTGAGCGATACCTGGCCAGGTGTACACTCCCGCCTTGGCTGCTCAACCCTCAGCCCGGGTCACTTGGGATTTACTGATAGTCCTAGGGCTGGGACCCCAGTCCGCTCTGAAGTCGGTTATGGTGGGAGGGTCCTGGTTGCGGGGTAAGGGCGGCACCTTCCCCAGAAGCGAAAAGTCCTGCTGGAGCGCCTTAGGAGATTCCACCTTCCTTCCGGGGAACTGTGGGGGAACTGAGGCCTAGAAGGACAGGGAACTGGCTGAGAGCATAGAGCAATGGATGTGCCCCTTACCCTGGCCTCCCAGACTTAGCATTTTGTCTTACTGTAGTTCTTGACCCTTGGGTTCCTTCTGCCCCTAGGTGGCCTGAGTTCCTTTGGGGCAGAAACCAAGACTGACCTTCAGTGCCCTCGGCCTCAGTTTGCTTCTCTGGGTGGGGGAGGGGGAAAGCAATGATTCCAGCTCTTAGGGTTGGTGAGAAAGAGAAAGTGCTAGTAAACTAAAGTGAGGTGCCAACTCATCGGAGAGGTCAAGAGCAGGTGGGACCTCACCCCAAGACATCAGGGACCTTGGTGTCACGCCCAGGGAGTGGTCTCTTCTGTGAATATTGCAGGTCATAGGGTCTGATGCTATCCCGGGATTTATATCCCTACTCTTCCAATTATCTAACTCTGTGATTTTGGACCAGACATTTGCCTTTCCTGAGTCCCACAGAAGTAATAGCTCACATTCACAGGGAGCTTTCCATGAGCAGACACTGCTAAGTTGTTTACATGGGGTGCCTCATTAATCCTCATAAGGACCCTTTTGTAAAGTAGGTTACCATTGTTACTTGCACTTTTGCACAGGAGCAGATAGAGTTAAAAGGAGTTAGGTATCCAGGGCCTGCCTTCTTTGGCAACAGCTGCCAGATGAAGCCAGGCCAGGGCCTTACAGGCAGACCCTACATATAGGTGAGACAGTCACTTGGCTCCAGGCACCAACATCTGGCAGTAGTTCTGGGCTCGGAAGGCCTTGCCTCTCCTTTGCAGCCCCCCACAGGAGTATCTCTGGATCCCTGTGAACTGACCTGCCCATGCCAAGACTGGGGATGGCCATGTGGAAGTGTTTAGCCTCACAGGGCCTCAAGATCAAGGGATCTATCTAGGATCAGGGCAAGAAGAGGAGGTGCAGCAGAGTTCACAAGGACCCTTGGGAGCAGCTGTCCTGTGCCACATTTACAGCTGGGAATAGGGAAAGGCACAGACAGAGTCAAAGCCTGGCCATCAAGATGACCCAGCTAGATGGTGCCAGAGCCCAGGCTTCAGAGTAAGGAGGGAGCCATGAACAGAGGGGCTATAGTCTGGTAGCTTGGGGGAGGGGAATTTGGGGGAGGGGTTAGGGCATTGTTGTGACAAGTAGGCCTGGGCACTGCAAGGGATAAGGCCTTTTTGGAAAAACACCTTCCATGCATCAAGCATGTCTGAGTGCCTGCTCTGGTCCAAGGGCTTCGGCAAGGCACATACAACCCTGTCCCTGCCTGCCACTGAGATATTCTTTCTGTCCAGTGGGGAAGGCAGACACGATCCCCTGAAATACTCGTATTGAAGGGCTCAGACGGAAAGAGACCAGAGCATTTGGCTGTTCAGAAATGGGAGACAAGGGGCGCCTGGGTGGCTCAGTGGGTTAAGCCGCTGCCTTCGGCTCAGGTCATGATCTCAGGGTCCTGGGATCGAGCCCCGCATCGGGCTCTCTGCTCAGCAGGGAGCCTGCTTCCTCCTCTCTCTCTGCCTGCCTCTCTGCCTGCTTGTGATCTCTCTATCAAATAAATAAATAAAATCTTTAAAAAAAAAAAAAAAAAAAAGAAATGGGAGACAACATTCCAGACTAAGGGATCTTGCAAGAGCAAAGGCTGGGAAGTAAACAGCCTGTGTAGAGAGAAACAAAAAGACAGTTTTTGGCCACAGAGAAGGATTCTTCAAAAGGGAGGCATTTCATCATGAGAGAATAAATAGTACCTTGCATAGAGCTCTCTTGCCACTTAGCCCATTGGGGGGGTTTATTTTAGCATATGAATCTGGAGGGCAAGACCTGGGACTTAGTCATCTTTAGTGTCCCCAAACCATAGCACACATTGAGGGCGTAATAATTTTATTTCTTAAAAAAAAAAAAAATAGGCTCGTTTCTTCAAAGAAATGTTCGTTGAGTGACTGCTAAGCTTCAGATACTATGCATTGGCAGTAGCAGTGAACAAGATTAGCAAATTCCCGGTCCTCAGGAAGCTTACAGTCTTGTGGGGAGACAGAGTAGCTCTGTTTTCTTTTTCTCATTCATTTTGCCAAGTACTGTGAAGGTAACAACCAGGATGCTGGGAAGGGGGACACTCTTCCCCCCAAAGGCATAGTCAGAAAAAAGCCTCTCAGAGGAGAAACATTTGAGCTAGGACCAGTGACAAAAAGGGGCAGCCTCAAGAGCTGCAGGGGAAGAAAGTTCCAGACAGAGGCAGCTGTACGCACAGAGGGGTAGAATGAAGGCTAATGGTTTTCCCACAGTAACTGGAACTGAGTGAGTGAAGTGTAAGGGCCAAGGTGAGGCTGGTGGCGCCTGGGTTGGGCAGGGCCCAGCAAGCCATGATGTGGAGTGACAACTTTATCCTAAGAGCAGTGGGAAACTGGGACTGGGATTCCTCTGGCTACTGGGTACAGATGGGAGAGTCGCTGGGGGTGGAATTTGGGAAAGAGGATAGGCAGAAGTCAGGCTGGACAGAGCCCTCCGAACTGAATCCACAACCCTGGGAAGAGGCAACTGTGGGAAGGCCTTGAATGATGGCCTGGGTTCCTTTTAGAGGCATCTGGGGTCAGGGAAAGGAGGGAACAAAGCCTCAGCCCAGTTGGGCTCAGGGCACCAGGGCCCTCTAGATGGAGGGCAGGGTTCACGTCAGCACCTGCGATGCACTCTTGCTCCGGGTGCTCATAACACTCTGTAGGCTGCCATCTATGGTGGTCCATTTCATAGAGGAAGAAGCAGGCACAGAGAGGCCAAGTGCCTCTCCTCAAGTGACTCAGCCAGCAGACGGCCTATACTCACCCATGCCATCCTGCCATCTGCAGGCCCTGTTGCATGCCCTTGGAGGTGGGGAATGGAGGGAGGAAGGCCAGCACAAGGCAGTGAAGGAGCAGCTACAGGTCCCTGCGTGCTGGGAATGTATGACAGCTCCACAGGATACAAACAAGCTCCAGGCAAGGACCTCACCTGTGAACCGAAGAGTGAACTCCAGCCTAGCAGAGCACAGATGAGGGAAAGGGCGTGGCTAGCCTGGGAGCAGAGCAGGCACTGGAAGTGGTAGCATCTGAGCCAGGCCTTGAAGGCTGGGAAGGGTTTAGACAAAGGAGAGTAGGAGCTTGGGACTCCATTCCAGGCACTGCCCAGACAAGGCCAGCAGGTTGAAAGTCCAGGACAGACATCAGGGCCCTTCTGGTTGCTGTCTGCAGTGGGAACCAGGCCTGGCATGGCAAGTTGGCTTCTGGGGCAGCTCTGCACAGCGAAAGCTGTGGATTCAAGAGAGACCCCAGAGACACCCCCGCCCCCTGAGATGCGGAAACAACGTGGGCTGGGTTTTCACATGCTGGGTGAGTGTCATGAACGAGCAGTGAGTGGTGATTGCTGAAGGGGAGTCTCTCCCATTTTTTCAGACTCTGAACTTTGTCCAGATTCGTGGGATCCCAGAGTAGGAGGTTCTAGTAGGCCACGTTCCAGCTGGCCCCCGCTTTAGCACCTCATCTTATGCTGTTCCCCTCTGTCTTGTGTTCCCTGACTCTCACTCTCTAAGGCACACGCCCC